ACAACAACGGGACCGCTCCTTGGGCTGTCCTGATAGCCGGCTCAGCACTTCCGTCTGTGTGTGTGTGTGTGTGTGTCTGTAGAACAGGCGTGCCCGAAGGACTAGCAGCTAACACCTCTGCCAACAGTTGTTTTCACTTGTTCCGGGCAAATACACGCCCGGCCACGTGGGCAGAAGAGGTGTGTGCCAGACGCCTCCTGAAGCCGCCGGTGCAAGGGACTCCGGCGGGGGTCGCGACTTCGCCCTGAACCCAAGACAGATGAGACGATTTGACTGTTGCATCTGGAGGCCTCGTTTCTGCGTCTAAAATTGACCAATCTGTCAGGTTTTCTCGCGTCTCTACCGCACAAGCCTGGCTCATTCATGAAGGACTGGATGACGGAGACTGGAAAGTACATGTTGTGCAGAATAGGGACCGAATACCGTCGCCAGTAGACAAAATAAAAGCCAATGACTCCAGTTGTCGACACTCCACGCGAAAGGTTCTTCAAGGCATGACGGCAACTAAACCAGCTCAACCGTCTACTCCCGAGCCACTTGCTACGCCCAAATGGAACAGGAGGTTATCGTCTGAACTTAGCGCCAAATCCAAGATAATTGGGTTGCCTTGGCCCCAACAGCTTTGCACCTCTATGCGAAATTGGCAGAAAAAAATGTTGAATCTTGGAGGGAGAGTGCATTGAGGCTTGTCTGAACCTGTCGAGAGGGATTTACACAATTGCAGCTGCTCCCCGAAGAGGCCTCATAATCTGTCCACCCATTGAGCCGAAATATCCAGCTGCATATCAGGCACTACTCACTTAATTGTGAGTAGTTTGTCTCAGTAGCCAATGACGGCAAAATAATTTGAGATAAACAAAAAGTAGAGGCATTTCAGAGGCGAGTGGAAGGGATCAATTACTTGGTCTCACTAGAGGCCAACGGAGGAATACCTTAGAATTGCTACTGTAGATCTTTGCGAATGCACTCGGCGCAACGAACAGGGGTCATGTGATGTTGTGATGAGGAGATATTCGCACAAATCTACAGTTACAACATTGAGGCATTGATCATTTGGCTTTTGATGAGATGATGAAGGACTAACTGATAGTTGGATTTTCCCACACTGCCAATGAATTTGAGTTAGTCCAGTTTCCCGTAAAGTCGACTGCAGTTTCGACCTTGGCTCATATTGTTGCGGGAAACTTCTAATATCGGTCCTTCATCCTATTAGAAAGACTAGAGTGAATACTGCTCTTATTCAAGAGATGATGGTAGTTTCAAAACCTACCCAAATATGAATATAAGTAGCTTAGTCGATTGTACTAGCAACTGCAAAGTTGCTCCATCTACAGTTCCTCATGAACAGGTGAGTAAAGTACGTTTCGGCA